ACCTGGCTTGTTCAGCCTAAGCTGCTCAACAGTGCAAAGCTCATAACCCTCAAAGAGCCGGATCGTAGCTGCCAGGGCATCGCCTAGCAAGCGGTGCGGCTCATTCCGCAAGTGCCACTGCTGGCTAGTCAGCCCAGGCAAGATGACTGACTGGCAGAGCTCACATATAATGATCCTATGAGCCGCTTCATATGAGAACATGATGAGGTAAGAAAGAATGGAACGGTATTAACTCAATGGCATTATAAGTTGACTGTAGTGTGGGGCACGCATGGTTGGCAGATTCACTGCTGTGCGCTGTGCTTGTTGAGAGTCGTCTGTCACCACCACTACCCACGATTGACGTGAAACATCTAGAGTTCGGGAACTGGACCCTATTGCTTCAGTCTATTCAAGTTGACCACAGTCAACTTGAATAAGGACGTTATTACGACCCTTTCTATCGCATCTAGGCATTTTACTTTTTCACCGAAAAAGTAAAACCGTAATGTGGGGCGCGCAGCCCAACCCTGACCAATCACAGCCCCCTAATTTTACTTTTTCACCGAAAAAGTAGCGTGCAATAAGTGGTAGGCCGTGGAGTTTTGAGTTGGTGCCATTCGTAGCATCTTTTGTGTGGTGCTGCGCACAGACCAATTTTCTGGCACCAACTTGATGCCACGCCCGCGGCCGCGACATAATAAGGGGTAGGGTTTTTGCTACGTTGTTCCCGATAATATGTTCAATGTTTTCTGCAGGCCAATGTCAATATGGGTTGTTTGTCGCGGCTTGTGCTAATTTTATTTCTAGGATGAATGTCGTTTCACCAAGCGCAAGTGAACCCAATTGGCCTGGAGTCCTATAATACCCATTCACGCCCCAGAGCTTGTGCATCTCAGCATAGCAATTAATCACTATATCTAACATAGCCAAAATAAAATATTCAAACAGCACTTCAATGCCCCCCGTGAAATTAAGTAGATAGCAATGTTAAATATCACTATCAACAAATTCATAGAGACCTCTTATGTCACCAGAATAAACTTATGATTCTACCAAAGTCTCATCATCATTAATCCCACCACGCAGCTCTTGCAATGGCCAAATCGAACCCCGCTATGCTTTTCTGAAACGAAGCGAAAACAGCTCCAACTCTCCTGTCTCCACCGCACCTGGTATCTCTATCTAAGTATCTACAGCCTCAACCGCCCGGACCATTCCACCATATAGACTTATATGTACCCCACTTCACCCGCGCCCACACATTTACTGTGCCGCCTGCGCTCCCTTTGCCAGCTCTTCCAGCTTCGCCTTCTCCTCATCCGTCAACTGAGCGTAGAGCTCATTGAACCCGGCGATATTATCCGTCGAAGCGCGCACGAAGAAGTCCGTAAGGTAAGCCTGCGTCTCGTCGTCGCGCTGGCGCATGAAGCTTCCACCAAGCCCCTCAGCGTAGGCCATCAAGTCCGCCTTGGCGGCACCCGAGCCGAGGTCCAAAATGGAAGGCAGATCCTCCCATCCATCATCATCTTCCTCGTCTGCGAAGTCTGCGACGGCGAGGGCGGTAGCGGCGTTCTGGACGCCAGAGGCGGAGAGGAGCTCTTCGATGAGGACCTTGACGATCTTCAATGGCGCGGGTACTATGGTGTACTGGTCAGGATCTGACCTTATTAGGAAGCGTTCGTGTCGGGGTGGGGTGAGGACTTACTGTTCTTGGCGCGGGAGCGGGTCATGATCCTGTCGCTGGTTGGGACGATCAGGTCACCCTTTACCATAGTCTGTGCGACGCGGGTGTCGTTCAAGCTGTAGAGCTTAGAGAGAGCAATAACACTAGTTTGTTAGTATTATACTTCTTGAGAGAGAGAACCGGTACTTACTTTTGTCTGATTTCATCGTATCCGGCAAAGCTGACCGAGTGTTCGAGCCACTTGCTCAAAACAACCTGCAGTCCGCTCTGTCCTCCGATCTCAATCTGGTTCAGGAACTCGACCACATCGGCTGCACCAACAAGGGACAGACGAGCAAAGACGAGAATGAGAGACTGGATGAAAGGCGCTGCCTCAGCAGTTGCCAGGCGTGAGGCAACTGCTTGAAGGAGCTGAGGCAGGAATGGGCCAAGACGCTCCTGTCCCGCCTTCTCAACAAGCTCAGCAGCAACTCCCCCAACCTCCGAGGCTGCGTTATCCTCCATAGTAGGGCCAAGCAGGCGATCAATTATGATGAGACAAACCTCCAATCCGGAGCGCCCAGCCTCATCGTGCCACTCAAAGAGCTGCTGCGGATCATGCATTATAATGAACTTAAGAGCCTCGGAGCCGGGGCGGAGGATCTCTCCTTCGATAGTGCTCAGCAAGAGGCGGCTGAGCTTTGGCATGACTGCAACAACGAATCCGGGTGGTAGTGGCTCGGAGCCGTTCTCCGTCAAGACGGCGATCAACTCGCATGCAAGCTGGGGGTTGTTAGTATGGTCAGTGCAAAGGGACCAAAGTTACTCACAGTTGTAAGAGGATTATCCTCTGTTACGCTTCCAACATCCAGCGCTCCAGTCAAGGAAGGCATCACCTTCTCGCAAAGCGCGATATAGCCCTCTGCGCCACGTGAAGACAGAGATTGCACAATATCCTCGAACGTCTCGTTAACCAACACAGTAAGTTGGAAGCTCGCCGCGCCATGCTTTGCCATTAATAACAGTAGGTCAATGACTCCACTTCCAGCAGCAATGGCGATGGAGTAGTCGAGCTGTGTTGCTGCACGGAGCGACTCAACAAGGGTGACTAATAAGTCATCTGAATCCTCCAATTCGGTCAAATCCTTCGCATTCAGGAACTCGGAAATGGCAACGGCAATTGGGATTTGACGGTCAGAGGGGATTCCTTCAGGGGCTTTGATAAAGCCTTGGATAGCCTTTATGCAAGCGACCTTTACAACTTCGGACTCATCCTCGTGTATAGCCTTAATTGTACGGTCAAGGAGCGCCACCGTTGGGAATGCACTGCCTGAAATGCTTTGAATGAGAACTCCAGCAACGATATACCCTCTTGCGCGAAGCAGGGGCTCGTCTTGGCGGTTGACGGCGTACTCGATAAACTCAAGGTATGACGCTGCTGTCTCGGCGTGAATATGCTTGTCAATATCAAGGAAGTCGTTTAGCAGTTGAGTGAGGAGGTACAACGAAGCTTCTCTTGTCCTCCATGTTGCGTCAGGGCTTGCAAATAGAACTCTCGTGTAAGTCAATAGACCCTCGAAGGCTCCCTGGTGCAGCCATTCGCCCAGCTTGATAAGCAAATCTCCACAGGCAGTGCGGGCTGTGTAGTTAGCAGTAACAGATGTTTCTTCCGCAAGGAAAAGGTTGACATCAATGTCCCAAAGACCTTCTTCTTCGGACGGTATCTGTGCATATGCAACGGCAAGTTTCATAACATCCACAACCCACGGCGTATTAGAGATACCACCGCAATTTTGGAGCGCCGTCTCTAATTCCTCCCGGACGGGTGGAGCCCGCAAGCATGACTGCAAGAAGTCAAGCTCCTCCAAAACTAAAAAGTCCAAGGTATACGGGAGACCATCCGCATCTTCCAATCGCCCCTGATCGTCGTGGTCGATGTACAAGTCCTTAAACGTATCCTGCAGCGAGGAAAGCTCTTCCCAAGTAGCTGTGAATAATACCGGGCTTTGCGGTAGCAGTAGCTGGGCAAATACTTGTCGGATCTTCATAAGGGTCTTGACAACCTGGAGCTTCAGGGCAACAACCCCACGCCAGCTCTCGGGTTCCCGGTTCAGACCTTCTTCGCCAGCCGCTTGGCTTCGTGCTGGGAATTGTAGCTTCATTACTTGCAGGAAAAACGGAGACCACGATTGTAAGACCTCGTCCGCAAAAGCCTTAACCTCTGTTCCGTGCTCGTCCTTAACCATATCCATGATATCGAAGCATCCGCGGAACACCCCCACGGCCAATGCTCGCAGGGACATTTTCCTGTTATCATCCACGGCAACGTTGTAGACCGTCCCCATAACATCTCGCGCCACCGCGAAGAATTGGTCCTCGTTTAAGCTGTCGTCGACAAGATCCGCGAGCACCTTCAAGGCGCCGTGGAGCTGTGCATCAGAAGCGGTGGGGATGATTTGTAGCAGCGTGGGTAACAACGTCGGCCATTGATCTGGGAAATCCACACTGGCGATCTTGCTCACGACGTAACTAGACCGCCACGTTAGTATAGCCTCGTGCTAAAATAAACAAACCGCGACAGCACTATTCCCCGCACTATCCGGGGTCCAACATACCTTGCGGCACCCCTCACCCTCCTTTCATCCTCTCCACTTGTGGCAAGCTCTAACAGCCTCGACCTCAACACCGCCTTAACATCATCTGAGATAGCAACCGTAGGCCCCTCAGTCTCCTCATCTTCTCCGCTCCAATTCTTCTCGGCGAACAGTCTCAGCGTGGTCAGCGCCGCCTGCCGCGTACTAATCGGCAAACTGGTATGCGCCGCAATGGCAGCCAAGCCCGTCGGGAACGCCTCATTGCTATGCAGCGCCTGCAGGTGCGCCTCTGCCTGTTGGCGGGGTGCCAAGGCGGAGCTCTGCGCTTCCGTCAGGAGATGTAGGAGCTGCTCTTCGAGATTCGACATGGTAGGTTTAAGTGCTGTGGTGGTGAATTCTACGAGCCCATAAATCGGAGATATCGTTCGTTTGTTGCGGAGGGGGGTTGTGGGGAGGTGAGAGTTTTATGGGCAGACGGTGAGGTGAGTTCAGGATACTCGACGTGGATTTGGCGGATTGTCGTGGGGGGAGTTGTTTGGGGGATGCACGTGCCTACGCGTAAACACCACCAATCAGCGACGATAAGATAAGAGCTCCAGTTGAAAAACGTCCCAGGAAAAGTTGAGAAACAAAGAAGCGGTGCGACTTCAAAGCCTTGTATTCCAGCACAGCACTTCAAAAGCTGTCTTGGGACTCCAAATTATACGGCGGTCAGCCTCTCCGGCCATCAACACCACACGTCACCGTCCATCTCGCCCACCATGCCTGCCCCGCCCCCACCACCCATCCCCATCCTCAACACCTACACCTCCCTCCTCCGGACCCTCACCTCCTTCCTCACCGTCGCAATCCACACTCTCCTCTACGAACGCGCCCTCTACCCCCCAACCTCCTTCATCTCCGCGCGCGCCTACAACTACCCCGTCCGCCAGTCTCGGCACCCCAAAGTCTGCGAATGGGTCAGCGACGTCGTGGCAGCCGTGGAGAAGGAGATGGCAGAGGGGCGCGTGGATAAGATCTCTTTCGTCGTGTATGACGTCGCTGATAGGAGGCAGGCGGTGGTTCAGGAGCGGTGGGTGTTTGATGTTGGGGCTTGGCCGGTTGTGGCGATGACGGATCGGTTTGTGCAGTTTGAGGAGCCGGTGAGGGGAAAGGGGAAGGGTGTGGAGATGCCTGTGAGGGAGGAAGAGGGGGATAGGGAAAAAGAGGGGGGGGAGGAGGTGAAGATCCATATTGTGGATATTGAGGAGCAGCTGCGGGCTACGATACGCAGGCTCGCATATACGGCTGAGAAAATGCCTCCGCTACCTGAGGGGTGTACGTACACCGTCATCGTGGAGCTGCGCGACGATGCCACGCCGCCTATTGGGGTGAGTTGAAGCCCCTTTCTTTTTGTGACCCCTATACCAACGCTTAACCACCAGCATCCCCAGCCCTGGGTTCCCTCTCCTCCCGCACTTCAGAAAACAGTAGACAAGGAAACAGACACCACCACCGAGGGACCAGCTATTCGAGGCCCACGTGCAACGCCCATCCGATCCGTCGACTCAGGGGCCTTCGTGCTCGAGACGTGGGTTGAGCAGGCTGCGCCTCCGCCGGAAGATAAGAAGGAGGGGAAGAAAGCAGCGTAAATTCCCCTGTTCATTTGTCAGATTCATGAATATGTGGACTGTATAGCTCAGACTTAGTAGGTCTGATTTAAAACATCCGCGCGGCCCGGCTATGAGGATGTGATTGCCTACTGTACTGGGAAGACATGTGGCTGTGCTGCTTCGCTGCCATACTCGAGGCGGGTATCACTGTATGCGCCAGTCATCTCGGGGCAGAGGGAGTACAGACTGTCACAACACGCATCTGCAAGATGACCACAGACAAGGCGTCCACCACCGCTTTACACCCAGTCTCCAAGCCAGGACTGCATTACATGCACTGGAGAGACCAAGCAGTGGCTATGTCTGTATTTGTGAAAGGGAAGTGGAGAACAAGAAGTGTTTAGTTTACAGTTTATGTATCTAAGGTCTATAGAAGCCTACCATCTCTGTGGATCGAGGGAGGTGGGAAAGAAAGATGGAGGCCGTGGTTGTTGTGCCGTAGTTACAATTATAGAATATATATAGTAGGAACGCGGCCCTTAATCGGAAGGGCAGTGTTCAGTCTTCGTTTCAATAGAGAGCTTGACCACGTAACTATCTACAACGTGACTTCCCACTGCCCTGTTCAGCCAAGGCTCTCTTACATTCTGAACGCTCCACCATTCCTACAATTGGGAAGAACAGCCCAGAGGGGGAAGTCAAGTAAGCGGAAAACCATGCCGCCACGTCAGACCCGTAGGGAAGCGGCTGCGAGCCTTGAGCATGAGCATAGCGGAGTGGCTGTGCTTGAGAACGCACCTGAGGAGTCAGGGGCATCAAGCCCCTTATCCCAGGCTCATAGCTCCCCTGGAGCAGAAGCCCAGCTTGCTACGTCCCTCGCCCTCGAAGCTGAGTTACAGCGAGAACTTGAGCTGAGAGAGGCGGGCGAGCAAATCCGTCGACTACAGGAACGCCTAGAGCGCGTAGAGGAGGCTTCTGCCCACACTCTTAGGTCGGATGAGCGAAGCGTTACGACTACTGTAAGCTCTACTTTGCATGCTGGGGTACCACGAAGCCTGAGGTCGAGGGCGATCCCTGAATACCGAGGGAAGAACGTCCACGAACATAACTAATTCATTACGAGCTGTGAGCTCGCCTTCCGCCTTGAACCACTAGCTACTACCACTTATGCCAATCCACGCTGCCGCCGCCGCGTGGATTTACGCGATTGCGGTTGGCTGAATTTTTGCGAAAAGCGGGTCTCCCCCTGCGGCGTCGATTTCCCGGTGCATGGGCTACATCCTCTGCACAGTGTCACGCACGATTAAAAATCAGCTTATATACTTTGCGTGATAGAGGGCATCCTATACCTCGTGTACTAGGGCTGCAGGAGCATTGTGGTCGCCATGATGAGCGAGTTTACATATGATGCGAACCATTTGGTTGTGGTCTGCTGTTACGACGGAACAAGAAGGCTGGCCAACTACAGGACAGGAAGGAGGGAGGTCGCATGAGACCGGGCCTGGTACCTGGAGGGGCAGCGGGGAATAGTAGTTCCGAAAGTATCACGTGACGGACTCGCAGGATGATGAGAAGAGTCCTAAGAGTCCAGGACTCCGAGGACTCGAGTGAGTTCCCAGGAGTCCACTAGGCACGTGACGGACTCGCAGGATGATGAGAAGAATCCTAAGAGTCCAGGACTCCGAGGACTCGAGTGAGTTCCCAAGAGTCCACTAGGCACGACGCCACTATATAAGTAGATAGTATTTCCTTAGATAGGAGCTTCGTGCTCAACTCAATACAGTATTTGTTATATACTAGTAACGTGTTACTTGAAGCCTTTGTGTCTGATCACCTGCCTCCTCTGATAAGTAAACCTTTACGCAAGAGAACCTCTGTGTCTTCTATCGTTTAGAAGTCAGCGTTACACTTTGTCCCATTGGAGGTGAGAGACTATCCTTTGAAACTCAGTAGTGTAGAATGAAGCTGAAGTTGTTTGTTGAAGGGCTTTGAGTTGCCTCTCAGCAGTTGCAACTTCATCAATGTCACCAAAGGTAGCTCGAAGCGAAGTGCGAAATTCAAGGTAAGTTGTAACCACATTTCCAGGCAGTTCCTCTAAGGGTCCATAAGCATGTTCTGTGAGAATTCGAAGTTGAGGTTCGAACCAGTGAAAGGCCGAGTCTCGAAGGAAAGAGGCTGCAAAGAAGATTTTATCTCTATCTGAAGAGAATTGCGAAGGTTGAAGTGTATAGTAGATATCCAGTTGGCTCAGGAATGAAGTCACTTTATTTCTAGTGCCAGAAAAGGTGTCAGGTTGATTAGCCTTTGGTTCCGAAGGTTGAACTGTTGTAGGGGTTTCTGAAGAGGTGAAAGTGGTTTGCTGATGGGACTGTATTTTTTGAAGTGTGGCTCCCATAGTTTGCACCATATTCTGAAGCCTGAGAATCTCTTGCTCAGCAGCAGAGTATTGGGGTTGATTCTCTTGGTTCATGTTTCTGAAGGTAGGAGATGTCGAAGTTGAAGAAGATATAGAGTATGTGATTTGAAGCTGGAACTTTGAGCTAGCAAAGTGTAAGGACAGTTCGAACTGAAGCTGACCGAGTCTCCAGAAGTATCCGAAGTATAATGTGAAGACTTCAATACTCAAAGCAGTAGGACAAGGTATAGTAGTTGAGGCTCCAAAGCATATACTTTATACCACAGGGTTCAAGTGGTGAGACTAACAGGTTGGCCAAGTGGTTCGACTCGAAGTAAGGGAATGCAAAGTAAGTCGAAGCAGGAGGAATTGCAAGAAGGCCAAGTAGTGTATAATTTGCTAGCTAAAGATCAATAAGAGACATGAGCAATGAGTGCTTATATAACAGTAAAAATCCCTAGTGCCAAATAAGCGAAGGCACTAATTAACCGAACCCTAATTAAGCGAGCCCTAGTGAAGCGAGCCAATAAGAAGAGAGCCTAAGCCAGTAGTCATTTTGGGCTGATCTAGGTCAGCAAGTGAAGCGAAGTGAGCGAAGTGAGCGAAGCAGGTGAAGCGAATGACATAGTGAAATAAGTACTAGAGACTAAAGTGAATCGAAGGGTCATGACACAAATATCGAAGGAGTGTCATGACAAGATGCATGGAAGACATTATGGATAGTCCAAGTAGGTGGCAATGCGAGCTCGAAAGCTTTCTTGCCAATAGTCCTTGTGATCTTAAAAGGTCCAAGTCTTTTAGTATCAAGTTTGTCTGAAGGTCTAGTAGTTTTGATATGTCTTCTAGACAAAAAGACTTGATCACCAACTTTGAATTGTGGTGCAACCACCCCCCTGTTAAAATCCGTGACGTCCCGGCATGGATGTAGAGGCTTCTAGCATATCATCTCGTACTTGCTTCTAGGCCCATTACAACTCAGGATGTTAAGGTGTGTATATAATAGCTTAAGCCCCCAAGGATGCCCCCTTGTCAGCCAGGTAAGGAATTACACTGATTGCTCGCTTAGCCCACCCAACTAGCGAGCCAATCAAAACCCATTGACCGGTGAGCCGGAATACTCTTGTAACGATGTACGGTTACGCTCGCGCTACATCCCACTGAGCCAAAAAGACTACAGTATTCCGGCTCGCCCGGAATACATGTAACATGCTTTATATACCACATGTACTGTAACGGCGGCACCCGTTACACTACGTAACGGCTGTAGACGATCAGTCTTTGCAGGTCCTTTGTGGAACAGGCCTTGCAATTCAACGCCAACGTGTCTGTTCAGGTAAGTGCTTGTAACACCTTCGGAGTCTTATGACCCATTAGGAGGCCTGTTTCTGCCCATGTAGCAGACTCTGCGACAAGGTCAGCATAAGTCCTGGCCTTGCTGTAAAAATTACCTACTTTCTAGAATATTTGAAGCTCTGCACCTAATAGCGTATGAAGTAACCTGACATCTATATCCAGCACAGTATGCAAGCTCTGTCAGGGCACGGTAAGAAGCGGCGTATGTCCATGCTGCCGTCTCATCCGCTGCTCAAAAAAGGGGAGTATCTAAGAACGTGTCTTTGAAAGGGACTTCTACAACACTACGATCTAACATAGCGCAAAAGAGCTCTTCTGGCTTGATATCAAACGCATCGCGTTCGTATGCCAAGGTGAGGAAAACCAAAATTAGGCATAAGTGTGGATAGACGCGGTCCTCCTAGAGCGTTATTATAAGCTAAGTTATGTCAGCTCCGTTTAAGGCAGCCTATGGTCCATGGGTACTCACAATTCATCCTCCTTATCTCTATCCCCCTTCATAAGTTTGAAGGTAATTGTGAGGCTCATCTAGGGTGGACTGCCTTCTACATCATGATAGGTGGAAGTTCAAATCCTCAAACGAGTCAGCAATCAATCGTATGTAGTAAAGGGTCCATGTATACTAACTCTATAAGTTATAGCCTCATTGATATTTCAATATGCATCTGATACAACGACAGCACCTGGCCGAGCTACACTATACGCAAGGCATAGAAGAAAGGGTGCAGCTTAACGCGGTCGAGCTGTCGGAAACTCTGCTTATCCTCTACCCACAGGTAGGCTGCGCACTGGGTACTCACGAGTCGAGTAGTAGAATTTTTACTCACCCAGCTGAGTTACTCGCTCATGTCCCGAGTATTGTTGAATGAGGATTACTCACTTGCTGAGTACCTAGTATGGGTCTTGGCAACTCAGTTATATCACGTGTTTGATTAGCCATTACTTATGTTAAAAACGGGGTGCGACTTCATTGATCAAGACGCCATAACTCCAACTCCATTCCCATATTGTTGATGTCCTATTCCACACTATAACCTTTGGCCTTTAGGTACCAGGTTACCAGATGGTTGCCAGAACTCATCTGACCTTCATTCCTGGGTGAGAGACATTTCCATCGATTAAGCCCACAGCTTAAACATCATATCCTGCAAACGCCGAACCAATATCATACCCTTTGCCTGAATTGTCACTCTCTTCGCATGAATAGCGAGGAGGTTTGTCACTATAACTGTTAGTATGTCCCTGTCACTATGTTTAAACATCATACTCTCAAATTCTCGAATGAGGAAGCATTCAGCAGCTTCCTAAAGAGCTAGGATAGCAGATTGCTGGAAGCGAAGATTGGACTTGAAGTCTTCTGTGATTTCCCTAACAAGACGCTGGAATGGGAGCTAGTATCAAGTTGCTGTCTTCTGATATCGCGGAGAGCCTTGGTGCCTATATGTTTATTAGAGAGTTCTGGTAATCCTCTGGTAATCCTCTGGTAATCCTCTTACTAGACTTTGTGCAGCGCGTGGCCTTCTGAGCATGATTGTTGCTAGCTTGAGATGAGCAAACTGGAGCTTTTCTTGCTGTGCCCACAGCCTTTTCCTGTCCCTTTCCGCCAAGCCCAGAGCCATCCCGTAATCCAAGTGGCATCCTTGGTGCTATGCCGCCAGTTGATCTCCTAGCAGTTTGCTTGGTACGAGTCATTTGCTAATATCAAGGTGAGTTAGTAAAGTAAACACAAGATAAAGAAGTAGATCAAAAGATATGTGTACTTACAGTGAGTTTGTAGAAAGAATATTGCAGAAGAAGAGTATAGTAAAGAGGTAGAGGTTGAAAGGTATGTGTTTTATATGAAGGTGCGCATTGTGGTGTTGTTTTTGGAACAGTAATTCTTTGTAGGTGAATATTCCTTCACAAATATTTTTGTTTGCAACTTTAAAATAACCATGACCTTAGAACCACCTTCCTTGGTTACTCTCCGATCTACACATTCTTCTTCCCTTTTGAGCCTTTACCTCTTCACTAGGACTTCAACTAAGTTTATTATCTTGATTCTATAGCCAGAACTTCTGGAGATCTCTGCTAATCACGTGTTTAGTTAGTATGGCGAAACTCAAGGCACATGAAGAACTCTCCACTAATGCGAATACTATCAAAGCTCGCAACTGCGTCTCCAACCTTACTGAAGATGAGAAGGCTGTTCACTTAGCACTCAAGGCTGACCATGCTGATCTGAGCTACTACTTAAAGAAGTTATATAAGTCTGCAAAGTGTAAGGATGCCTCCTTACCTAGATACTCGAAGAACCCGCCTCAGAGCTGTTACGGTCACCACAAGCATGAAATCCGACTCGGTGTGGTTTCGGACCAGTAGAGGAGGACATAGCGAGTTACACTATAGTGGGGGACAGTAAGGGTGTAGGGTTCAGGGTCGATGCGGACCTGTTGCGGTGGAAGGTTCAGGGCTAGGGTTGGGATAACCGAGTCGGGCCCGTTTCGGGTACTTAAGGAAACAAACTTAACGGGGTTCCCCCTTCATCTTTTTTGTATCCTTCGTAGTAGACCTATAGGATAGCATCCTTTTAGCCTCCAACTCGCACTCTCATATGCTATTACTGTGAGCTGGGTGCCCTGTGTCATTACACAAAGTATATCGCTGCCTCTACTGAAGACAAGACACGTCTACAGAATGAATTGAAGGTTGAGCGTATTTGTGTTCGGTAAGTTCCTTCTGGTAATCTCTGGTAGCCTCAATCTAACTATAAACAGGACTGAGAAGGGTACCCATGCATCTTGCATTGCGAATCAGAAAGTCAAGAATATTAGCGCCTCTTCTTCTCCACAAGCCCCACCATCTACTCCGCCCAAACAACTTCTGTCTGAGCTTGCTGCATTTGAGGGTATCTCAAGTATTCCAATCGATGACAATCATAACAGCGAATGAGAGGATACTGAGGTTGGAGACGATTTGGAGTTGGAGCTTATGTTACAGCGCGAGATATTTTAAATGACGAGGCTGTTCTACCAGATGAGCTTTCCGATGAAGAGATCACTAGCACCCAGGCTCTCTTAACTCAAGCACACATTGATGTATGCTACCTCATAATCTGGTAATCTTCTGGTGATACTAATAGTTGATAGGCCCATGAAGAGTTCAATTTCCGCAAGTGGCAACATTTCTGGGATAGCTGTATCCACTCATATACGAGAAAGGCTGGAAAGCTGAGAAAGAAGCCTGAGCGTCTCTTTGAGTATATGCCGTGGATTGATGTAGAGGAAGGGTACGTCTCTGATCATCCTAGCAATCTTCTGGCAATACTAATTGTTTATTATAGCACTTTTCACGAGGTTATCCCACCACATAAATATTTCTGTTTGTACGAGCAGGCAGTTTGGAAAGTGGGCCTAATTACCAGGACCTGTGCAGTGGTATCCAAAGTCTTACAATCTTGTCGACAATGGATGGTTGCAAATATCCACTCATAGTTCTAGCTTCAAAGAGGCGTTCTTACTTGTCTACTCTAAGAAGTTTGATAAGGAAAAGTGGGCTAAGGTATCAGCTGCACAGGATATGTTGTTCCTGGAGCTAGAGTAGAGGAGAACTTGAGTTGCTAAAGTTATAGCGCTGGAGTACCTTTCGCGTTGGAAAACCAGGTATTTAAGTACTTCATCGTAGCCAGACTTCTGGTAACCTTCTGATAATCGAGCAATTTGCCAAATGCCATCTCAATACTCAGAGTTGTTTGATTCTGACAGTATTCTCAGACTCTTTTCCGTCTTCTCAACGACTATCCTCATTAAATCAAGTCTGTAAGGACACAGGGCACCCAGCTCACAGTAATAGCATATGAGAGTGCGAGTCAGAGGCTAAACGGATGCTATCCTATAGGTCTACTATGAAGGATACAAAAAAGATGAAGAGAGGAACCCCCGTTGGGTCAATCTCCTTAAGTACCCGAAACGGGTCCGACTCAGCTAACCTGCCTTAACTCTTATCATGTGACCATAACCTGCCCGACTCAGATCCTTTCCATCACTGAGGGACAGGCATCCTTACAAAGTCCCTGCAGGCCTTGAATATATTGGCAAGTTAAACCAATTCGTCAAATGGACTAAGGATACACACGATATATTCATTGAGTGGTGGAAGCTATCACGATGGTATGAACAACACTCAGATCATACTACAAAACTCCTGATGAAGATTGCATGGGATTCAACCAACTGGAGTTCTCAATACTGGAGAAGTTATCACCAAGGAGCAGACTGGCTTTCTGGAGAACCATGTGTTATTTGTACTTATTGTTCGAAGGCCCTTACGCATCCTGCAATCAAGTCTGCTGGCCCAAAGTCTATGGCAACACATCTTGCATCAGACATTTGCAAAAAGAAGTCACAGATGGGAAGGATAGTCTCTATCAAATGCGAATCAATCAAATGCAACCTCAACAAGTAAGGATTACCAGATTATTACCAGAATTATGTAGGTTAATACCTATAATAAGATCATATTCTCACACAAGAGACATTTTATGAACAAGTTCTATACACAGTTATCTTGACTCATAGCTCGTTCCGCTCAGTCGAGGATCCTCATCAAGACCCTATAAATACTTTAGGTATTAGTAGGTCTGGCCGGCCTCATCAAGCAAGGTGGAGGGATGTTCTTAAGCATATATAATAGATAATAGCGTTCTAATAATCTTCTGATAATCATGGTACTTAGATAGAGGAATATACATGATTCGTTCTCACAGCTTACTAGAGATGGCGAGAGTGATGCTAATAGATGTAATACTTTAACTTAACCATAAAACAGTATTAATCGTATGAGGGACTGTTCACATGATGCATAAATCTTACACGTGATAGCCGAGTACTCACCGGGTTTTTACAGAGTAACTGAGTATTGACCTCACTCACCGAGTCGAGTAAAAGGTTCAGCTACTCACCCAGCTGAGTAACCCACTGAGCGAGTGAGCCGAGTATTGAGCGAGTAGTGCGCAGCCTACCCACAGGTAATGAATGAGCACTTCGAGATCTTGCGATAAATCCCAGAATCGGAAACCCACCAGGGACGCCCAACAGTCCAGGGACTAGAAACCAGAAACTAAATGTTGTGTTGGATGCTGCAGAAATGGGGAACGAGAAACAAGAAGCGGTCGTGAAAACCGAAAAACGTGGTGGTAAAAGCAGCCGGGCCCGCTAACATAGAACGGAATACGGTTATTGAATAACAAGAATCCGGCACAGTGATTTAGTGGTATTAACCCATCGATGCCAGCTCGTCTTAAGGTCCCCGAATGCTGGTTTACCATTTCCTGATTCCTCCTTTCTTGATCTTGGAAAAGCAGCGACATTTTAGAGCTCAGTTGCCTAGAAAAGAGTTGGATGTCGATACGAGGACGCGTAACTCAAGGCTAATAAGTGGTTCGGAGCATCTGTTGGTTTAGGAGACTCTGGAACCTACGTTTGCCTTCTCTGTTTGAATGGAAGCCTACATGCTCAACAGCATTCGGCTTCTCTGTTTTGAAAGGAAGCCTGCGTGCCTGCCAACACATCAGCCCCATCGGCTCCATGTATTTAAACCAGCTTATAATCACCAACTGAGCTTCTCTCAGTACGGGTAATATATTTACTACCTCAGGAAACTACTGCATCTAGCTCCAAAGGTTGCAGGTGCACAGCGGCGCCCTCAACCAGTAACAATCTAATCAGGCAAGAAAATTATTGCATTATCTACTAGTCTATATAACTAATCGCCAAGTCCTCATTTCATGAAATAACCCAGACTGTAGGCGGCTGGATCTGAATGAAATACTGCAATATTATATATACCATATTCTCTATACGCTGCCTGTATCCAAGTGACACGCACATCGGAAGACTGATGAATCCATAACAACTTCGTGTTGGGCTTACTGGGTTTAAATTCCGTAGCACAGTTCGTCCAAGACCCTTGATTTCTATAGATTCCCAACATTTTAAGGCCATAAACATCTCGCGTACTCTGGGTATTGGTAAGGTTTCCCATAGATCTGGCTCAGCTCATCACTTAATAGCTGGGGCCCGCTCAAGTGGTCCTTCCTCTCGGCATACTTATGCCTAAGTAAAGCGATATTCCACGCAAAACTCGAGTGCCCAATGCCTCCAAAAGCCGATGCTTTTGTCATGACTTGAAAATCCACCATGCCCTGCTGATCCCAAGACAACATCTTTAGCGTCGCTTTGTCCGTTTCGTCCAGTAAATCAAACTTCGTCGTGACTGTGATATTAGATGCTGCCGCATCAACTTTAAACTTCGCGACTTCTTCTTGGTCCCCAGATGCCACATAGATATGAGATGTGCTCGAGGAATTTGCTTGCTCCAAATATAGTCTTGACTGCGTCTCATATCGGCTGTATACCCAGTCGCCAACCGGCCAACCCTGCTGCGAGTCATATTCGGTGCGAAGGTGAACACCAAGGAAGAAATTAGGAAGAATGGGTTTAAGAAGATCGATATCATAGGAATATCTCTCAGCAAGCTTTAATAGAGTCTTTGTCGCTAGAATGCTGATGTCAGCGCGGAATTTGAGGATCTTCCCAAAACTCGTCGCAAAGCCATCGCCGTCGGTGTATATAGGATATGACAAGTACGATCTCTCAAGTTTGATGACCACAGTGTTGTCAAACATATCACTGATATGTTCCCCAAGCCAGTTATAGAATAGACCCCTCCATTTTTCAGGTTCCAATTTTTCATCAGGTGCGAGCGACTCGGGGTGCAGTGCTATCGGCTCGTGGAATGTCTTCCCTTTGATATCCTCAACTGTATCGTATAGACGAAGCCCGGGCAGGAGAGCATGAGGGACTCGCGAAAGTGCTGCCGATCAAACATATATTCGAACTCAGCCCCTATCCCTGTGCGTATTGCTGCAGTGTCTGACTCGTTGCGGAGCACGATCTTGGGCTCCACGAGGGAACCTCCTGCCAAAATGGAGTAGCGAACGCAATTCAAGATCGAGTTGCGGATGTTGCCAATGCCTCCCACACTGTCGTTGCAGGTGAACACGATGTTTTCCTTCCATTCTGTATCCGCGCAGATGCTCTTGATTGCCTCGGATTCGATCGGCGCAAAGTCGAAGGCATCGCTAGTAGTCGGATTTCGTAGGAAAGAGTGAGGTTCGCTTGAGAATATGTTCCAAGGAGTGCGATCAAGAAAATAGTATAGCTGATCAAATGCGAGCCAAATCCAAACTGCAATAAGCAGCCAGGAGACAAGGGCGATATGTATTCGACGAACACCTCGAGGCAGCTGGATCATGGCTGTTGGATATCTAAAACAAATCGGCAGTAATAAACATCAAGACGTTCGCAAATAACTCAAAGACGATAAAGAAAAGGAATGAGCGTGGACTGATACATTCTGTGTTGTTGGTGGTGCATCATCGCCCTGTCGCCTGTGTTTTTGTGTTTTGTTTGCCGCGAGGATATGCAGCGTGGCGCACGCTTTGCTTTGTGGGGACCACATCGGGCTGTGAAGCACGTCGCTTCGCCGGCTCCCGTTCCGGTCCTCCCCGCCCACTCTCCCCCTTTCCGCAAATCCGAGGCCGAGAGCTAGTTCACAAGCGCCTGTCTTGGTACGGACTACGAAATATATGCGAACAGCCTCAAAGAAATGCTCAATTTGTAGAGGCTGAGGTTCAAGAAAATAATCGATGAGGTACATGGTGTCTATCAGATGGACTGGGGATTCACCTTGTATCAATGCATCCCGCTTTAGCTCAATCGAGACTTGCGGCTGAAGATAGTACGACGTACAACTCCTCAACAACTTAAATGTCGGTGACGTTTTCCACATACACAAACAAGTCCCTGTAAGTGGCAGAGACACAAGCGAAAAGGTAAGGTTGTCCAGTCAATGGCGGACATAGGGTAAGACTTATATCCCTCTGTGCTACAGGGCAGCTATGGTCAAATGAACGCTGTTGATAAATAATTATAGATATATATTTATCTGCAACTGCATTTCATCGCAGCCAAATATGCGCTTCGCACTTATTATTGGACAACTTATTATCTTCTTACTGGAGCATACATCTCCACTGGACTGCTCATTCCCGTCTGAGCATACATTTCCCTAGGCGCACGCTCTGTAAATAACTCTTGCGGCCCAAACACAGAGCTTGTATACTTCTCGCTCTCTGGAGACATTTCCTGGCTCTGTACATGATGATGTGCTGCTGAAGTAGGATTTGGCTCTGCAGGCTTCCCTTTACGTCGCTTGTATAATAGGTACCCTGCGACGAGGACTGCGATCAAACAAGCTGCCGCCGCTGCACAAATACTCCCAATCACCGCTTTTGAGAGTTTACCTCCAGACTGGGCCGTATTGCCGGAGGGTACAGTGCTGGTGTTTGCTGAGGTGGGATTATCCAAGATTGTCCAAAACCCACTCCATGTGTCCGCCCAGTCCGTTGTAGAAGATATAATTGAGTTGTCCGTAGGTTGAATTGCGGTCGGAGCTATAGTTGTCGGAGTATTAGGCCCAGGAGCCTGCGCAAGATACCAGACTCCTTTACCTGTCTGCCAATTAACCCCTATAAATGCAGCTTGTAGGAATGAACGGCCCAGAGAAAATATGCCGCGCGGGGCCAGTCCAGGGAAGCAAGGAAAATACAGCGTAGGCGTGCTTATTATTGGAGATGTCAAGGTGAGGTTGAGAAGAGAAAAGGGGACCTTGATTGTTATATTCTGTGAGACAGAGCTGCTGAGACGAAATGTGAAGCTCAGATATGATGGCGAGGAGACGATCATCTTATATTGCGGATCGGCTGTATTCCAGAAGTAAAGCCCATACTTGGGTTGAAAAGTCACTGGAAGATTCTTCGTAATAGAATCACAAGTACTTTGGGGCAAGTAAAGATAAGGAACAGTAGCATCCACTGCTACTTGCATCGAGTTTCTTATTGACGAGTTTCCAGACGCAAGCAGACATGCTTGGGACGAAAAGTCGAAAGGCGACGCTCCATCTTCAACGCCGATACCAATATCCAAGAGGTCAATTGGCAGGTGATCAATAGCATATGGTTGACTCGAGACTGGGCTAAGGACTCGACTTTGGTCATACCCACCGATAGTCAAGGATCCAGGGATCCCAAAGGCTGCAGAGCCAATATGCATTCCATAGGAGTTTGATGGAGTCCGACCTTCTCCGAACATACTACTTGTTATGAATGTGCCGTTCCATCGAGGATTCGGAGGGAAATGGTTCCATGATTGATTGAACTCAGGTGCTCCCAAGGCTAATTTTCCGATTGTTAAGGGATATGTCGATCCGTCTGGCAGTGTTTCGTGACCGTCTGAAACAACTAACATGTCGAAATCTTGAATAATCGCAGTGAACGAATCCCCAGAAGCTCCCTCCCTGACCGGCACAGCCGCTGTATCGAACATCCAGTGAGCAGACCCAAATATTGTCGGTAGAGCTCCAACAGTATGAGAGAAGGTTGAGTTTTCTATGGAACCTGTTTGCCCAATTTCGAAGTTTGTTGATGAGCTTGAATTATCGTATACACCTGCTGATTGTGCAATACATGATGAACTAGTTGCGCAAAGTGAAGATGCTAGCACATTCGACATCCAAGATCCGCCAGGGAGAAGGTCGATGGACTGTAATGGTGTACCGATGCGAATATTAACGGCCTGCCATGGCCCATCTGGACCATAGCTATTTGATGACCAAGGTATGATTTGAGTCTGACCTGGGAGTGCTGCAGATTTCCGGCAGAAAATTATGGCTATTATAATTGCCTTGGAAATATGTGAGGACATGATAACAATGTTCCAGTGTTACAGACAACAGGAACGTAGGAAACCTCTGAAACTGGCAGTGTTGGCGATCAACACTACAACTTCAAGAGCATGACGCACAAATATGGATGCAAGAGAGGAGAAAGCAGGAAAAGGAAGAATGAGGCTTACTAGGCGATACTTGTGCGATTCTGCTATTTTAAGACATAACATGGAAAAGCAATCTTATTATGTTGGATATGTTGGAGTTCGAGGTTTGCCTACTGCGTGCATACGGAGGACAAGGGCGTACACCCGCCTTAAGCAGTCCGCTGACACGCCCAATACCCACACGCCATAGCGGAATATTGCTTGGCAGAATACATATTTCAGTGTGGACTTTGCGAAAGCGCCGTGCAAACATTGGCGCTGCAATCTCCGTATTGCTAGGTGTTGTTGGGCGCTTAACCAGGTAACGCGACAGGACAGCGAGCCTCAGTAATCCAGAAAGTCCAAATATAGTACGAGCTCGAAACACTCAATTGTACAGACTGGCAAATGGAGATAGAGACCAGCCTCTGATGTGCCGTTACCGCCATCCGCCGCCATCGTCTGAGCCGCTATTAAGGTCTTCGCCCAGTTATCATACTCTCACCGCGCCACTCTATATATCTTCGCGCTTCAGCCGGGTATTACATGCGCGCTTCTCGTGGTGATGACGGCGGCGATAAAAAAGCGGAATTCCGTATGGACACTAGGGCTCACAATTGTAGAAGTTTATCGTTCTGTAAAAGCTTGTCGCGACAGTACCATCTCGAAAACTTGGCTCGCTTGCACTGCCTGTGGCTTAAGTGCGGGTGTACGATTTAAGAGCCTAATGAGTACGGCAAATCTCCCTACAAAGATGTGTACTATCCATACGGACGGACTGTTTAGGAGACATTAGATAGGTGGATTACATAATACTTGGCATTTCAATATAACGATATTTTCACTTTTACGATATTTACACGTGTCACCAATTGTATCGACTTAACGGGAGTTGACTGTATAATCGTTGGTTCTCAAACCACCGCCTGGAGGCGGTTGGCGAAAGCGAACTGGGACGCGAAAGCGATTGTGGGACACTTCGGGAGCGGACTCGCGACGCGACACGACCGACCATGAACACGACTGACAACGTAACAATGCTGTAAATATATATAAGTTATAGAATTAAATAATTAAAAAAGATTTGGATCAATATTGTCAGGCAGTGATTGATCATCACAGCCACCGTCACTTGCATCGTGAATCATGTCGTAGTCCAAGCCTGCAAAGTTCACGTACCCACTCTCCTCGATGGCTAACAGTCGGTCCGCCTCCTCCTCCTCCTCACGTTTCTTCTGTGTAACGTCCGGGTCAATGATTTCTGTACGTAAGCCAATTGGTGGCTCCGTGTCTGGGTTACTTTTTTGAAATTCATGGTCCTTTTTCCGTGTACGTTCTGCCTTCCGTGCATCGATGCCAGCACGGAGCTGCATCTTACGCTCAACGTTCACCATGCGTGTTCTCTCTCTTTTCTCCCGTGCTTCTTCTAAAAGTTGCTCCTTTACCTTCTTCTCATAAATCCTTTGCCGTGCATGTTCAACTGTAATAGCACCACCTTTTTGAATAGATTTCCGACTTCTAACCTTCCGCTGTCGTTGCTCAGTCATAATAGTAGTAATTTGTACAAGCTCTGACTGGAACAGCTCAGCCTCTGTTAACTGAGTTTGGATTTCAGTATAAGAAGA